CGCTAAGTAAACTCGTGATCTGTACAGGGTGAGTAGTGAGTGCTGTATGTATAGATGAGCATGTTTCTTTAAGTGATATTAGTTGTGGTAATTTCTTTTATTGATATGAGAATCTCAGTGAGCTCAGTTTAAACGACACTGGCACTATTGTCCACATCCTATTTTATGTTTAGGTTTAAGAATCTGGAGAATATTCCACGTACAGAAACGTTGGTGTGGATATGGATCGTACCTGCTATTTATCTTTTATATTTTTCGTTATAACTTTGTAGAACTTATGTAAAATATATTATGTTCGCTTGAAGCAGTGGAAGCGTGTCGAGAGCCTCTCGCCAAAAGCAACATCTCTCCTGCCTACTAATTCGTCTGATAAGGTAGAATGCATATCTCGTCAGTATTTAATGAAAAGGGGAACTTTTCCTCAATCAAATTTAGAAAAGTTGTATATCGCAGCTCGAACGGTTATGCGGTTCCTTTTTATGCGGTAGTTCTATAAAAAAAAATCATTAAAATATCTTCGCATCCGGTTTCTACTTACCCGAGGCTCATATTGATCTCGCATTTCCATTTGAAAGTCAGTTCTGGAATCCTTGAATATCTCGCCTGCATGTTTTTCGTAGCAGAGCGGAAATTTGGGGCAAATGCTAATAAGCCGACATTTTCGTAGGTGGGTAACGATGATGAGACGCAAAATGAACATTTTTACATACGTAAAAAGTTTTCAAACTCAAAAAGTATGCGACGGCTTCTCCGTGTAACGGTATTTCTGTGGAGAATAAAGTTTATGTGTTGCTAAATCTCTTGGAAAAATAACTTTGCATACTTTAAGAAAAAAAAATTCATGCCTAAAGCGAATAAAATAAACGAGAAAAGTGAGTTTAATAAAATAAAACTGAGTGCGCTACAAACCATTATCAAAGCTTTACTGAAAACATAGTTATTGTATCATATTTTGTGAACATATGTCAGATACCTTCATAGAAAAAATACATTTTAAAAAAGTACATTTTTTAATAGGTAGGTACTAACTTTTAATAATATATTCTAAATATATAATACTCCTCCCTAATGATTATTATGAATGAATATTATAGAGAATGCGTATTACTGATAAAAGACATTTTAATATAAAAATGTCATCCCACATTACAATCCTTAAATATTTAAAATGCAACTCGGGCTACTAAAAGCTTATTTCTAGAGTATTTTATTCTTTATTCAAAGGCTTAAATTTAAATTTTTAGTTTTTGAATTGTTACAGTTCATCAAATTTCTAGAGGCTTTCGACGGCTAGACAGAGGAAGCACTACTGAGAGGCATCGGTTGGCGGGGCCGACGGATTTACGCAATGAAAGTACACTCTGCGCATCAAGTATTTCACTATTTTATTCAGACGTAAATGTCAGATGTAAATTTCGCTAAAACATTTCTTTTATTTTCGTTTGTGTTTTGTGCTCATTACAGTTTAATAGAACCTAAGTATGGAGTTTAATAGCAAATTAAGAGGCCGCGTGATTAACAGTCAATCTCGCGAAATAATAGCCAATGTTATAGAGTTTATGAGAAGAGAAGGAAACTTTAATTCACCTTCAATACCATTTAAAAATGTAAATGATCGTGTTGCTGCAGCCACAGGAGTATCTAAAAACACTGTCGTCCGCATTTCTGGAGAGAAAAAAAGAATCGATAACCGTGAGATATCGGAATTTTCATCACCAAGAAAAACCATTAAAAAACCAAAAACAGTTAATGATATAGATGAAGCTGACAAAGGTATTTTAAAAAGAATTATTCTGTTCATGTTAATCTCGGAAAATATTGTTCCAACATTAAAAACAATTCTGACTAAATTTAGAGAAGCTACAGGGTACAAAGGAAGCTATGAAAGTTTAAGAAAAATAATAAAGTCGCTAGGATTTCGTTGGCGGAAAACAAAAACAAACAGAAAAATATTATTGGAAAGGTTTGATATTCAAAAGCTACGTTTAGACTATCTGATTCGTTTAAAAAGTTATCGAGCAGAGGGCCGTCCAATTGTCTACTTAGATGAAACATACATTCATGCCTCCCACACACACACCAGAAAGCTTGGAGTGATAATTCAAATGAGGGATTAAAGAAACCAATTAATAAAGGTGATAGACTAATTATTGTCCATGCAGGAGGTGAAATGGGCTTTATTCCGAATGCCCGGTTAATTTTCAAATCTGGAACCAAAAGCGGAGACTACTACGATGAAGTGAATTTTAATAATTTTTCTAAATGGTTGAAAGAAAAGCTGTTTCAGAACCTCCCTCCAAGAAGCGTCATTATTGTTGATAATGCTCCTTACCATAATGTCCAGGTAAATAAAGCACCAACGTCAACTTCTAAAAAAGCTGACATGCAGGATTGGTTAAGGAATCATAATATTGCTTACGAAGAGAATATGCTCAAAACGCAATTATACAGTTTAGTGCTATTGCATAAGTCACGATTTAAGAGGTATGCAATTGAAGAAATGATAAATGAACATGGTTTTAGTTGTTTGCGTTTGCCACCGTATCATCTCGATCTTAATCCGATCGAATTAGTGTGGGCATCATTGAAACAATATGTAGCTAGTAACAACACTACATTTAAGAGGCAAGACGTACAACTGTTGTGTGAAGACTTTTTTGATACGTTTTCTAAAGAGGAGTGGCAATCTCGTTGTAATAATGCTAAAATATGGGAATCTAAATTTTATGACAGAGAAGTTACTTTGGATGAGGCAACTGAAAGATTTATAATTAACTTAAACAGTGACAGTGAGACTGATTTTGAATCTGATATGGAAACTGAAGAAAGTTTTTCGGAAGACCATTAAAATTATATCTGTACCTAAGATTAAAAAAGTATTATCTATTTTTACAACGAAGATACACAAGAATCAAATTTTATTTTTTTATTATTAGATAGCTATTTTTGTTTCTGAGTTGTGTTCATTTACAGGCTCAATTTTTTTCCGTTTCTCCTTTTTGATTTTATATGGGGTTTCAAGTTGTTTTTGACTTATTTCGACGTAAATCACAACAACACACTTTTTTAATAAAGCAAACAAGTGTTAAGAGGTATATGTACGTGTAAACTACAATTACAAAAAATTGATATGAAACCCATGAAACCACCAACAAAAATGTAAAGCTAGCTTCCGTACTAGAACATGGTGTCATTCGTCGAGATAATTTATCGTTTTGTTTAATAGATCAAGAAATGTAAATATTCCCCTGTTATTTTTTATAAAATTATAAGAGAAATAAATTTTTTTTCTAAATAGTATAGTTTATTATTTTGTAGAAAAACAAAATTTTGAAAATTTTAGTAATGTTTCAGAAACAACCGTTATTAATAATAGGTACCATTTTCCTTAATAAGGTAGAAATAAAATATAAACTATTTCCACGATTTACAAAGGCCTACAAAAAAATTATAGGTATTTTCCGCTATCCTATAAAATTTATATTTTCTGACTCAATTTCAAAAGGTTGAAGGAATTTCAAAACACCTTTTATGGCATAATAATTATTTTTAATTCTACATACTATCTTTAGCTGCTTTTAAAAACGTTCTAAGAAAGTCCAATCAGACCAATTTAATCCCTAAACTATTCCACACTTTTAAAATTTAATTACCTAAAAATATTAAAAATTATTTAAAATAACTTGTTTAGCAGACTGTACAATAGCTATCTTAGTCACACGTAGCGCGTTCTCTGTCTGGGCGTCGAACACCTCTAGAAATTAGATGAACTGTAAATTCGAAATGTACGAAAATCAACTAAAAGTAAACACCTATCTGTCAAGAAATCAAAATCCTCTTTATTCCAAATTTTGAAATTATATTTTAAAGAATTTTTTTTAAGTTATGTTTTTGAAGTTTGTTAAAAAAACATATTTAGATGATTTATATGTATCCATTTTGAAAATACATCATCTTTAACACAAGCCTTATATAATCAATAATATTACATTTTATGGTATGGCGCACTGCTACCATAAATGGTGACCACGACGTGATGTCCCAGATGGAAGGAAATTTGAATAATTGGAATATCCTGACAGACACACAAACAATTCTGACAACTCTTCAAAAATCATTTAGCCAGACCGAAAAAAAAAAACCACAAGTAAAGTTTATTGAAGCTGAATTAGTTTCCTCTCGAAGCAGAATCCTTTATAAGCACCAGATTGGAACAATTACCCAACTCCTAATATTCATAGACTCTCAGTTTTATTATTATTATTTTTTTTATTTAAGAAACGTTTCCGTGAGTACCAAAATCACAAATATTGTAGTCCAGGATCCCAGGCTCATTTTCACCCATGATTACTAACAAGCAGATTTTTTGTGAGTAGCTTCATTCTGACGAGACGCCCAACTTTTATTCTTACTACAATTTTGGTAAACAGTAGCTAACAGGGGTAGTGGGGGTGAAATATGTTGATCTGACGAATTTGAAAAATTTATTACTAACTGAATTTTTCTTTGTTAATTCCCAAGATAATTATCTAAATAAACCGAGGAAATATTTATCCTACAAAATTTAAGGTTCTATCAAAGAGGCCCCCCTCTCCAATGTGTATAATTAACAAGGTCATGAAAAATTATTACTAAACAGCTGACTTTTTTTTCTATTGGTTAGTTAATATTATTATAATTGAACACCCACATTGTCCTACAAATTACGTGGTACGACATCCTGGTCCTACGATCAAAAGCTGCCAATGCCACAAGACAATTTTTTTTAATAGTAACTGTAGGACCAAAGTATTATGTGATCGATTAGTATGTTTTTCATCCAAATAAAACAATGTCCTACAAAAAAACAGGTATGTATTGCTAGACCTACAAGAATTGTCATTTTCGTTTCCCTATTTGTAACACAGCATGAAGTGACAACATATTTCTTGAAATTAAAATAACTTTATTTTCCAATGTACATAAAAAAAATCTGGGTTTTTTATATAAACAAAATAACATTAATCTTCATCAGGTTCATCGGAAAAATCTTCATCATCTTCGTCAACAGCATCAGTATCATCTTCATCTCCCTCTTCTTTACTTTGTTCGTTAGTGACATCTGACTTGTAATAACATAAAACAATTAATAAATCGCCGAATAATTAATAAATAAATAACAATAATATTAATAGGGTACCTTGTAAGTCAGAAGATAACTATTCGAAAGGTGGGCTTTGGGGACCATCAAACCAATAATATTGATATTTATTTTCAATTGTTGTTCATCCATAATTTTCTGGCAATTTTTCGCTGGGACACCGCATATGTGCATTACACTATAAATTGGAAATGAATACTGTCCTTTTAAATTGTTGCAGCAATTTTTGTTTTGTTGGTGGTAAATTGGAAGGATACTTTTTTTAATACTTCTTCATTATCATTTCTTGATTTATATCCTTTTGCAAATAGCTCATTCTTTCCTTTGTCGATATCATTTTTTGTTTTTAACGAGTACACTCTACATAATTTTTTTTTACTTGTGCTTAAATCAATTATCATTTGAATTTGATTCTTTAAATACTCAACATTTGCCAACATTATTATTGGTATATCAGAGTCTGTACAATGTATCTGCACATTATAGTTACAATTAAGTTGACAAACGTGGTACACAATTTTGGTGTCAGCTTCTTCATGATAACAAGAAAGGTTATAATTAACAACTCTTTTTATTTTATTTTCACTTGATACCTCATAAGTGTAACATTGATCATAATTAGGTTTAATAGACTTTTCTTCCATTAATATAATAAATTCATCTCTTGTCCAATCTTCTATTTGAAATTCAACAAATTTTTCTTTAAAGTTGGTACTCCTCAATAATTTGCGGAAATCAGCGGGACGGTTATTGTCTCTACGTAAGACGTCATATTGTGAGTCCTCTTTACCTCTCAAATCATGTTCAAAATCTTTAATACTAGGTTTTTTGTACTTGTCGAATATAACATGTACTTCTTTTCTATTATATGTAAGTATATTCAATATATGTTTCGAGATTTTACCATAACTGTTTGGAACGTTTTTTTAGCGTATGTAGTAAATAAAATCCATCAACTAGGTGAATGTCTGCTTCTGGAAGATTTACGATTTCAGTTTGATATTGTAGTAATTCACTAATAACAACTGATTTGGGGGTCTTGCAAATTGATCCATCAGTATGACAGAGTGAAAATGGAATAGGAGCTAGAGGATAACTTAATGCTTTTTCTATATCAATTTTATTTTCTAGTGACGCATAAAGTAGACGACCAAAAACATCTCTTTGCATTTTAACTTCTTTCACTTTTCCATTAATTTATATTTTTTGCGTATTGTTGTACTCAAAATTAATTATTTTATTAACGAGCCGTTTTACCCACTAATTTCGGCGAATATTAAAAAATCATTAACAAGAGATTAAGAGCTTAAATTTGGGGATTATATTAGGAAAAGTGCTGTTGAGGAATGCTTTTATTTTCATTATGATATTTCTAAATTTAAAGCCCTTTGATTTTTTTTCTCGGAAACTGGAAGAAATTAAAAATTTAAAATATAAGCATATTCTAGATATTATTGCCCAATATATTTTTCCAAAATTTTAATTCTTTAAAAAAATCACTTTTTGAGATATCCTTGTCCGAAAATTATAAGGCGTGCTGTAATCACCTTAATATTAATATCACAACGCTCTGGTTTATTTTGTACATTATTTCTCTCGTCAATTTCAAGCTGGGTATTGAAAAAATACTTTGTTGTAACTACAATTTATTCTTATTAATAACATTAGGTTTTAAAAATTAAGTAGTTACATATCATTCACCTGATCTTTCAATAACAATAATTCATCATTTTGTTCTCCACAGTCTACCATTAATACTTTTACAGCTTCTTCTATCTCTTTTCTAAGTTTCAATGCAATTTTCAAATTTAGTCTCATTGTTTGTATTTATTTCTAGAGCATCATTGTTATTATTTATTTTATTAACCTCCAATAATAAAGTTGAGGAAAATGATCCACTACTAGTTTCGTTTAAATTTGGAACTAAAGATACTATAAATTTATTTCTTTTCATATCCCTGTACATCTTATAAAGAAAAAAAGGAGTAAAAATAAAATAAAAAATCACAATTCAGATGGTAATCCAATCTGCATAAGTCTATTTTTCAGCGATATTTGAAATAAAACAATGTACATCAAAACTTCCTAAGTTGGTTTCCAACAAATGTAAAATTTAGCAACTTAAAATCGAATTGTCAGCATTTAAAAGTTAATTATTATTACTAACCGTGTGTATTAATAAAAAGAATAAAATAATGAATTAAAAAAACAATCACTTTATATTTTAAACAGTAACTAGCCATAAAAATATAGACTTATAAGCTTTTGAAAAATGTCATCCGGCGCAACGACTTAGGTTTCAATATCGTCCAATGAATGTCGCTACAATTAAATTAAATTTAGAAGCTTTTGCAGGATGTTAAATAATAATATTTTAAATCTGTTTGTATCAAAACCTCGTAAATAGTAAAAAACGAACTTAGGAGGTTTTGAAAGTAAGCCGACGATATCTTTTATATTTCAAAAGTGAAGTTCGTGATATTTTAGAATTCCATTCCTATCAACATCTACTATAGATCTACACCTTCCTGGACCTATTTTTCTTAATAGCGATGGCAAAATATAAAAAAATAACTTATGTTTAATCAATTCCAGTCCAACTGACGGTATAGTATTTACATTATCTACTTAGATTTCAACAATACGAAAGTTATTCAAATGATTTGTTATTCAAAATATATTTTTATTGTGTTAAATTATCTGCTAATCTTTTGTATTTTATATTCGTCTTTTGTTGCCGCTTTTTAAAATAAGAGGTCAAAACATTAAGTGGAATTAAGTGTTTCAGTGGTTTAATTTCCTAATAAATGAACAAATAAATTGTTTGTCCACGACCACTTAATAATGAATCAATATTCTACCTCCTAACTAAAAGCATATGGTACCCATATATCACGGAGTGAATTATGATAATTCACGCTTTTGTAATTCTGGCACATTCCGGTAGATAACTAAAGATAGGCGATACTTTCCATAACGATATTTTCTAGATCGAAAAATCAAAAAATCAATAAATCAAAAATCAAAAATCAAAAAATAAAAAAATCGAAAAATCGAAAAATCGAAAAATCGAAAAATCGAAAAATCGAAAAATCGAAAAATCGAAAAATCGAAAAATCGAAAAATCGAAAAATCGAAAAATCGAAAAATCGAAAAATCGAAAAATCGAAAAATCGAAAAATCGAAAAATCGAAAAATCGAAAAATCGAAAAATCGAAAAATCGAAAAATCGAAAAATCGAAAAATCGAAAAATCGAAAAATCGAAAAATCGAAAAATCGAAAAATCGAAAAATCGAAAAATCAAAAAATCGAAAAATCGAAAAATCGAAAAATCGAAAAATCGAAAAATCGAAAAATCGAAAAATCGAAAAATCGAAAAATCGAAAAATCGAAAAATCGAAAAATCGAAAAATCGAAAAATCGAAAAATCGAAAAATCGAAAAATCGAAAAATCGAAAAATCGAAAAATCGCAAAATCAAAAAATCGAAAAATCGCAAAATCAAAAAAAAAATCGAAAAAAATTGAAAAATCGAAAAAAAAAAAACCGAAAAATTGAAAAAAAATCGAAAAATCGAAAAAAAAAATCGAAAAATAAAAAAAAAATAGAAAAATCGAAAAACATTGACAAATCGAAAAATCGATAAAAACGAAAAATCGAAAAGTCGAAAAAACAACAGTTAGTTACCTATGTTTAATAAAAACTTTCCATTCTACACTTAACTTTTATTTAATAAAGAAACCATAATGGTCGTGGACAAAGTATAGTATTAGACTCGCAATTTATGGCCATTATTCACTCGGGTGACTGGCGCCCCTCGCCTACGGCTCGGGACGCAAACATCACCCTGCGTGAATAATGGCTACCATAAATTGCTCGTTTAATAATATACTGATATTAAAATAAACTAAACGCTCCTTTTACCTTTATAAAAAACTCATGAATTCGTATTGGCCATTATATGCAATTATGCCAAATAGATTTTGTTCGTAGTCGTCTCTAGCTTATCAACTTTAAAGCTATTAAAATAAGTCGACCCCGACCCTCTACCTTTTAAAAGCACAGTTGTATTTGTTTCTATATGAAAGTAAGTGGTTTCTAGTTGCAGGCTTATTCCGAAAGCTGATGATAGTGAACATCCAAGGACACCTTTAATTTAGTTTTAATTATTTCAAGTTTAATCAGCGTAAACGTAGTCAGCGTAAAATAGATAGATGAGTAGCGCAAGAGAGGAACATCGAACCTTGAATATATATTTAACTTGAACCAAAACTTGAACTCAACCCGTAAAATGTTAGGATAGGTTGACACCCGCTCGCTATGGTAACTCAAAAATAACTATTTATTTATAGCCAAAGAAGACACGCGGTGTGTTTAGACAAACGAAAAGTGATCATCAACATCTTTAATATGCTCTTTAGATGACGCTGTACTGAAGTGTTTTACACTTAATTATTTATTATCAAAATAAATAAGCTTAATGGTTATGCCAACAGATCTGTTTAGATAGGAATTTTATTAATGGCATTAAACAACACGACGTGATGATTTAAAAAATTAATAAAAGATATAAATAAACAATACTAACTAGAATAGAACTAGAGCAAAGGATAGACATCGGGAATAAATATGTTGGATAAATGTATCATGTGTTTTTATCAAAAAACATCTTAAAATGGATCAAAAACAGTTAAAGGAGTACATAAATTATGACAAACCGACCACTTAAAATTAATTTCTTGACACCAACCCTGTATCAATTGTAGAAACCATATCTAACCGTTTGCTCACGTATCAATAAAAAAATAGAAATAAAAAATAACTCGCTTTAGTACTTTAAGAAATCTACCGTAAAAATGTACCCAGAACAAAAATCAAATTAACCTATATCACGCTGAAGTAGAGAACAAGTAAATACGATTTATCTGGATTCCATCGTATATTGGTATTACTGGAAATCAAGCAGGCGATAAACACGCCATGGAAGCAGTTACATCTAATAAAGGAGCACTAGTAATAAGTGAAGTGGTACACGATGATTTAGAGCCAGTAGGTAATAAAGGTTGGCAGAATCGATTGAGTGCAGAAAGTAGCAGTTAAAATCCCTCTTTATTTAAAAAATCTGAGCATTACTTTTAAAGTGCCGAAAAGTTGAAAAATGTATCACGCGATTACGTGTAAGTAAGTCACACGGAACTAGAAAACTTATAAACCAAATCACAATAATTAAAATAGTTCTGATATAATTTACAACCTTCAACTACACCATTACTTTTATGTAGTAATATTGGTTGAGCATTTTCGGGGAAAAGCCATCATCAAAGCAAATTACAATTGTATGTGTATAATCTTAGAGCTTATAAGACTGGAGATCTCATTCAATGTATGTTGTTATGTATAAGCGGGGTCATCACTTTAGATGTGAATGAAGAAGGTAGGTCCCCCATTCTCAATGGCGTACCATTTGACGGGGTTCTTATTTATATTTACCATGTTCAGATTTGAAAATTTTTCTTTATATTCACCAATTAAATTAACATCCTGTATATGAAATTAATTATTTATTGAATTAAAATGTTTAATTTCATTTTCAATTAATAATAAACACGTTTCAATTTCGTATCTAGTTCGATGTGTAAATTATAATAATAAAAATTTTTATTTTTAAAAAGTTAGTTGAAAATTAAAAATGCTTTGCTTTACCAAAAGGATAAAATAACCAATTAACATAGAGTTATATATAATTTTAGCAATAAGAGAATTGTCGTTACCATTAACAAGTATTAGAAATTAAAAATTTAAAAAAACCGACCTTAAAAACGTGCAGATGCCATCACCACATCTTAACTAAATTTATATGGGACCACCCCTGAGGTACCCCCTTACTAACAAAAAAAGAATCATATAAATCGGACAAGGTGGTAAAGCATTATCGCTAAACATACATAAAAAATGAAGAGTTTGAGGATTTTCTTATGGATCCAATTACTAGATTTTGACCAAATTGATATGGGACTACCCCTGAAGTAGCCCCTTTCTAACAAAAAAAGAATTATTGAAATCGGACACCACGTTAAAGAATAATCGCTGAACATACATTAAAAAAAAAATATCGCGACGAATTGATAACCTCCTCCTTTTTTGAAGTCGGTTAAAAATAGGATTCAAAAAGAATATTAATAAATTTGTTTATATACTTTTACAGATACCAAATATATTTACCAGTTATATTTGATTTATTATTTAACAGTTGAAATGTTACACTTTCACAAGTACCAAGCAAAAATTACATTTAGAAGCAGTTACAATCACTTGATTTTCCACAAACTCGACTCAACAAATATTTTTAATTCCTTGATTGAAAACACCTGGATGATGATAATTGAAAAAGAACCAAGCGCCAAATTGCAAAAATTTAGGTAATGGAACCATACGACAGTTTGGCATGTATTTATAATGTGTAAAAAGTATCAAGCGCCTACTGGGTTCTTAGCGACATTTATTGGCTAAAGATCCAAGTGCCTTTGCGTGAAATAGCAGTTTCCTGTTATATAAAAAGAACCAACTCACAGTACTGTTTATAGAAAGTGATTACTGTCGCTTGGTTCCTTTTATATCTCCGGACAATTTTGTTTGTGATAAATTGTAAGTGCTAGTTTTCGTGTTCTTGGATTTCTATTTAAACTAAAAATGAGTAAAAGAACTTTACTAATTCTCAGTAATGCTTTACGACCAAAGGGATATGACCCGTCGTGCGAAATAGAGACAAAAAGCCAAAATTTAACGAATCTAAAGCGGTAAGTAAATTTATAGGTTAG